CCTGAAGGGTTAAAGGCAAATTCACTCGTTTTTTTCCATCGAAAAAATATTAAGATAGAAAATTTCTTTGTTTCAACGCGTGGTAAATTAGCAATCGTCGCACGATGGACTCGGTCTGGAAAAGTCCCCTTATATAAATCATCCCGATGGACGGCAACAGTTTATGATAAACTGTTGCCGTCAGTCGAGGTGATTTACATAAGGTTGCAAGACTTAACGGCCTACCAATTCAAAATAACAAGCCAATGGGTCACTTGCCTCTTTCACTTCTAGAGTACCTGAAACGTGATTGACGTTTTCGATCTTATCCGCAGTTACGCTTGATATCTTATTCTGTAAAGAAAACCGATGGTTTGCCTACCTACTCATGTCGGCACATAAAAGATTAAAGTTTATCACTTATGGATGAATTATGGCAAACACTCCATTGTATCCAACGAAATTGTAATTTGCTAAAACCAAACATTGCATCCAAGATATATTCTTGTTCTTGTTTAATTATAACTTAGTGTAGTGGAAAATGATTTATTATCGGATACTTTCAGCTACGAAAATTTATTATTATTTATTGTTGTTGTTGCTTTTTTTATTGAAGGTGCAAAAACGATTTTCCCATTTGATAAATGCTGGATGACTGCATTGGCTTATCTAGGATTGATTTTGGAGTAATGGGTCACTAGGGAGGATATAGAATCGGAATGTGCTTTTCATACTTATTTATTCTATTCCAGAATAAAAGTAGGAATTTTAAATTAAATTTCTGGGAATTTCTGGGAAATGGGAAAAGCATAGACTATAAAATTTTCAAGTAAAGTGTGAAATTTAAAAAACAATTTCACCTGACAATTATTATCTTGGTCAATAAAACTGACTTTTATAATATCTATTTAATTACTTTCTAATTACTTTTAAATACATAACAGTTTCTACTTAAGTAATCAATATTGATTTTAGATTGCTAGATTTAAGTAAAGAAGCCTGTTTGAAAGATTTTTTTTTAACATTCAAGTAAATGATTGTCAGTTTGTATAAAAATACTTAAAAATATGAAAAATGAACTTTAAAAAATTAATTAAAATTCTTTTTAAATATTAATATTCTATTTCTATTACAATATTTTAATGTCAGATAAGATGTTAAAGATTTTTAAAGTTAAAGCATTATTTTATAATTATTTAAACATTTTTTTTTAAATTGTAGGTTGAAAATGCCAATTATTTTAATTTTTAATTTTTTTTCCAGTTAGTTTTTTTCAACAAATGTTTGAAATTTAAAAAATCATACTTTATATTATGTTAAATAATTATTTATTTATTTATTATTATTAACATCCCTGAATTAAATCTATTTTATTAATTTAATTTGATTTCATTTAAGTGTTAAAAGCAAACTTATGTAAAATATCCTCTCACATTAATTAAATTATATGATTTGAAATATTTGTCAGTTCTTTTTACAATTTCAAACCTTTTCTATAAAAATATATTTAATTTATTCAGTCTAAGATAATAAATGTTGATAAAATATTTTGNCCTGTATTGGACGATCACCTATTTTTGTTTTTAAATATTTGTAATTGCTTATTGGATTTTACTTTATATTTTTAAATAAATAGATGATATTGGAAACTGATAAAGAAAACAAGTAATAGAAAATTAACAAAAACATTTTATTATTTTGGTATTTATTGAAAATATCATTTTTTTAAATATAATTTTTTAAATTAATTTTCATAATTATTTTAAATTCATACTTAGATAGACAATTTTTCTTTTTATATACATTCGGTGAGACATTATTAATTCTATTTAACTTCTTTATATTGCAAATATGATTTTATTTTTCTTAAGTCTTTCTATACAAAATTATGAAAAAAGAATTAATATAGCTTTTAGTATTATAAACAAGATTGAGACTGTTTGATAATCATTTGGTTTCAACAAATAAATAGCTACAAATTCTTTATTGTTTATGCAAATTATAATTTTTATACAATTAAATTTTTTTTAATCAATATTTTTATAGATTTTTAAATTAGTATTAAATTTTCAAATATTTTCTAATATAAAGAAATCTTTAGAACATTTATTAATAGACATTTGATGTTAACAGACATACAATGTTGATAGGAGGATGTAGATATTTTCAGATATATGTTAAACATTGTTGTTTGATAAAATGATCTTTATAGAACTTTCTTTTTTCTACTTATAGGTAACTTAGTCCAGAAATTTGTACTCAAGTTTTTCTGTAAAATGTTTAAGCTTAAAGAATTACAATGTATAGACTAAGTAAGACAAAATCACTTTAATCACTAAGTACTTAGTGATTAAACTGCTAGAAACAAAGTGTGAAACGTTTTGTCTTACTTATTCTAAGTAGTTTTAGCTTTGAATGCATAGAAATATATAGACCAATGGTATTCAAATATTTTAACAGTAGACCCCAAGGTAATTTTCTGCAACTCCAAATGGGGTTGCGACCATAGATTGAATACCACTGGTAAAGACTATTTTATATTGTAAATTTCCTAAATAATTTAATTTGAGTTGAATAGGTTTATGTAATACAGTGAAAACTGCTCAGGCGACCACCTGCATTCGACGGGCACCTGTCAAAACGGGCAAAAATTTCTGGCACAGAATAGTTTATCCATAGAGTCTTCGTATAAGTTACCTGTATTAAACGACCACCTGTGTAACGCGACCGCGGGCATCGATTTTTGGACCGAAACAACATACAACACCTGTAATAAGCGACCACTTTCACGAATGTATTTGGTCTAAACCAGGGCTTCTTAAACTTTTTTTATTCACGACCCCATTTATGATTGTGATTTTTTTCGCGACCCAAAAATATAAAATAAAGATATATACAAATTTGCAAAAACAATAATGGTGTGCTACCACAGTTCACTCTTGTTTTACAATGGAACAGAGACAACTAAATACACTGAAAAGCGACAACACTATACTAGTTAACACTACAATCAGGGTTGCTGAATCATTGTCTCGCTGCACCAGAAGTGACACAAACCGCAACTCACGAAACCTATGACACAAAGCATGTCTCACTTTCAAACTCATTTTCAAACTCTCACAAATTATTTTCAATATTTTGCATTAAAATCTCGCGACCCCAAGATTTCGCCAAGTGACCCCAAATGGGGTCGCGACCCATAGTTTAAGAAGCCCTGGTCTAAACTATTGTAAGAACCCATCTCAACAATGTATCCAGTTCCTAATATAATGAATTAGTCTAAACTCTCGTTCGAACCCATCAAGGGCACTTCTCCCACCCTTGAAATTAGGTGCAGGTGTTAATAAATTAGTCTAGCAACAAAGGAAATTCATTTCAGTTTGTTGGAAAATGTTCGAAATGCAAAGTGTTGTCGTTACAAGATCGTATTAAAGTTATCACAACAGCAATTAGCGGCGAAGTTTAACTGTGGGAAAACAAAATTTATTTTTTCGTATACCTACAGTATTTTCCTTGGGGGTGTAAAATATTGTACACGATACAATTAATCGGCTGATCTCATCGTTTGATAAAATCTATTTTTATTTATTTATTTTGAAGCTCATATACAGTACACGTGCGATAAATAGTTTCTGTATCAACCTACCTTATTTCCACGATATTTTTAGAAAAATAATATCCAAGTAATTTTCGCAGGCAAAATATTCAAAAAACAATAAACGCATTAATGCAAAAATCAGTTTTACTTCCTTTTTCGATTCCGCGATTGTAATGAAATCGTATAATGAGAAAAAATAATAAAATCGTTTTATTATTAATTAATAATTTTTCTTATTGTACTTAATTAATTAAGAAAATATTAAATATTAAAAAATACAGTATTTTTAAAGTTAAAATAAGATTAAACTAACGAAAACCAAAAGCAAAGTGATGGAGAGATAGGACGCGCTTGTATATTGATGACGTAATACACGTAACTGAGGAGCGAACGAAAAGAACCGAGTCGAATTAATTAAGTCGGAAAAAAGAAAGTGTGCATTATAATCGAGAAAATGCGAGTATTGTATTAATCTTTATTGGTGTTAAAGCTGTCTTATAATATCATAACGACTCCTGTAAATCAGGTTATCCGATAAGAATAAAATACAATACCAATATAGCCCTATCGTTGAAAAAATTCGTTTATTTTTGCTCACCTCGAGATTTGCTTAGTAGAAATGGCTAAAAAGTGCGCAAAATACGTACGGAAATACGGTAGTACAGCACCACCTGTATTGGACGATCACCTGTCTAAAAGACCACTTTTTGAAGGAACCGTGGGTGGTCGCCATAGACAGGTTTTACTGTATATGTTATGTTAATAAAGAAAATGGCTTATCTAAAACTTTTTACCTGAAATTTTCGTTATCTGTATAAAGTATTTTAATTTTATTTCTGTATAATTCAAAATACTTTTTCAACTTTGAACAAAAATCAATTTTTGATAGTTTTCTAAATAAATTTATTTCTGTAAAATAAATAAAATGTTTAGAATAAGGCTAATTATTATTTATATCTTTCAAACATTTTAAACAGATTGAAAATTATTTTAAGATGGAAATAATGTTTAATTCAACAAATGTTTGAATAAACTGAAGACTAAGTAAATATATCTATATTTACTTTTATTCATTGTCTTTGTTTCATTAAAATGGATTTTAATGAAACAAAGTTTCATAAACTATACTCATTATAATTCTTGTTTACATTGAAAATTTTTTTTTAGATCATAGAATTATTATCATGAGTGCCAACTCTAAGAAATCAGAACCCATTTGGCCCTTTGAAGCTGGCACCCATGGTTATTATGACAATAAAAATTACTTCTAAGTATTTGCAAGTTCAGTTATTAAATTTTTTATGTGTAATATATATCAATAGCTCAATAACTAAACTTAAAAATTTAATTAATTAAAAATAATTTTTAGCATATCAAGTTTATTTAAGACTTCTGCAATTAAGCCTATATACTATTTTTTTAGGTTTAAATGCAGAGCTTTCTTATGTTCGAGAAGGAAAAGTTAATGATTATGCTCTTGGTTTTGTTGTCCTCATACCTGATCATATTTCAGAATTACATTTTACTTGGCAAAGATTAAGTCCCATACCAGTAAGTCATAATCTTTATTTCATAACATCTTATTTTATGCAATAGTGTTTGTTTTTTTCTTGTATTGATGGTGACTGTTGATGATGATATCACATATTTTAATAAATAAATTAGATTATAGTAATCAATTAAACAAAGAATTTAAATAATTGAATATGTTCAATTTCTTATGTAGACACATATATTTTATAGATGCCTTATTCAGTTGGTATTATGGTAAGTGATAATCAAGCATTGGGTACGCCACAATTGAATATTTCTCATCGAGGACTTGTACCCATGCAAGAAGAAGGTGAGTACAACTTTTTAAACTTTAAAACGATTTGTGAAAATATTTACTATAAATTTTATAAATTTCAGTATTTCAAGTTGTTTTGCCATGTACTGGAAAATTTAATGCAGAAGTAGATGTCAAAATATATATTAATATAACAATGCCTAATAACAATATCACATCTTTAATATTACGTAGGAAAAAAATTTGTTTGAAAGGTAATTTTTAGTTTATTTTATGTTAAACTAATATGCTGAATTATTTCACATTTTTTATATTTAAAGAGTTAATTTTTAATTTAATTAAAATGTTTAATTTTCATAAATAAAAAATATATTTTATGTAGTCATTTATTAGGTTTAATACATATTAATTATAATATATGTATGAAATATAATGTATGTTTTTACTTTCCCAGCTCTGTTATATGTAACAGAGGGAAAGTATGGCAATTAATTGAAAAATGACCCCCCAAGATTTTTACAGGTTTTTGGACTTGGGCCTTGAAATGTCAAGAAATGAAAAAAATTCAGGGGTATTTTTGTGTGTGGGAGGCGCGATTTTATTCATCTACTTTGAAGTTTAATAATTTGTGTGCTTTTTGTAAAATATTTCTGAAATTTTGTACAGAGGTTTGGGTATTAGAGGGATTGATGCTATTAAATTTTGGTGGTAAAAGGTCAACAAGGTGGGAAGATAAAGAGGGTCGTGTGCCATATCTCGAGTACAGTCAGACTTAATGATGATTTTACTCATTATTAGTATTTAAAATTTTTTATAAAACCCATCCCTACCCTCAAAATTAAGCTTTTTGCCATTTTGTAGTAATTAAAAATATAAAAAAGTTTTTAATAAAATATCGTAACAGATGCACCACACATGCATGTGTTGCTGGATTTTTTGGTATTAGTATTTACATACATTAATAGCTATTGTATAATAATGCTAATTTTCTGAAATTTGAAATTCAAACTTTTATTAATCTTGTTTACAATACTGTTTAATAAAAGTTAATCTATTATTTACAAATAAGTAAACTAAACTATAGTTAATTGTTTTATTGTTATTTTTTTGTTAATTGTTACTTTCGTTATATAATTTAAAATAATGAGAACACAAAGTACAAATAGTACAAATAAAAATAGTATTGTTTCAGATAATAAATTGAGTTCCTTAATTTAGTTATTTTGAGCTTTTGAAATAATTTTAATGTATAATTAAAAATATAACAATTTCTAATGGTTATAAGTTGTTTTAAAATGTTTATCTTAATATCAAAGAATTAATATTTGTTAAACAAAAATAATTAAAATTTAATAATAACTCCATTTTAACAATTAAATTTTGTTCAATATTTTTCCTCCATTTTTTTAGTAACTTATAAGAGGCTTCAAAATAATTGTATGAAAAATTGATTGTACTAAATTAATTAACAAGTTTATTAAAATGTTTGTAGTAGCTATTCCTTCAATGAAAAATTATACATTTATCAATATTAGGATGAATTAAATATTAGATATTCTTCAAATTTTATTACTTTGATTTACTCAAGAAATACTTATTCAAAATAGTCAATTCAATTTATCTAAAGAGAGTCAGTAATATAAGGAAAAAAATAATAAAAAACAAAATTAAATTAAAATTAACAAAAAAAAACAATTTGTACTTCTTCATTCTAACTTATTTTTTGTTCTATTTACCATATCAGTTTTCATGTTATTTTAAGCCGTGAGACTATACAAATATACATATACAACTCATTTTTCTATGAATATTTATACTGTATATGATTATAGATCAATCAAAAATTAGAAATAAATAAGTTTTTATGAAAGAAATAATTTCAATCATTTTGTTTTAACCAAAATGAAAGATATAATTAGTGTATTTTTTTATGGTTTGGAATATGATGATGATCTTTCTTTGAATTACAATAATCTATAAAAGTTAAAAAATTATGGTTTTGTAAATCATTATCATCATTATTTTTACATTAACTGTATATAGCAGATGTAATGTTGATTTATAGTTCATACTTTCTTCCATGTTGGATTCATTTCCTAATTAAAAAGTGTACTTCAGAATTAATCATATGTTTCATCTGATAAACAAAATCCATTAATTGCTTGCAGTTCTTTGCATTGTCAGATTATTCTAGTTTATTATATGAAAATATAATGTACTGTACATAAAATAATGTAATGAAATATGTATAATGATAGGAATGATAAATTATATTTTCATTATTATTATTCTGAGACTTAATGAAAACATACTATATAGTTAGGAAGTGTATAAGAGGAGATGAATTATGAGATCATTTATTACATTAGTTAAATAGAGTTAGCAAGAATTAGAAAGAAAAAAGATTTTTAATTTATCAAACGTTATCGCAATTGCTTGTTTGCTTTATACACATATTACTAATAACCTTATGAATCAAAGAAAAGTACACAAAATTTTAAACAGTTTTCAACAGTCATTCATACATATGTGCTTAATAAATAACATATTTCTTAAATAGAACAATTTAAATGATTTAATCTAATTTAAAAGAAAAACAAATTATTTAGGATTTATTTGATATACTATATTAATTTGTTTTATTTATTGTATGAAATATTTTATAAATGTTTATAAAACTAGAAATAAAATCAATAGGAATCTGAGTGTAAAAATAAACGATATTTGGTTTAAATTATTGTAAAATAAAAAATTATATGTAACAAAAATTAACTATAAAGAAATTTATAAATATATTTATAGTAACAAGTATGAAATATTGTTAATACATAATCTGATTGAGATAAATATTTTTAAAGTATAAATCTAAATAAAATCATATATTAGAAATAAATTTTTAACCTCAAATTTAATAATAATACAATTTAAATGTCTTTTAGCAATAAGGAGTAACTTTTTAAGTATTGTATTAAACATATTTTTAAATATTCTAGAATAAAAATAAAGATGAGACTAATTTTCATTTTGTCATCTTTTAATAATGATAAATTATTTCTGTTACCTGTTGTGTTAATCTCTAATTAATTATTCTATTCAAATTTGGTTTTCTGCATGAAAAGTTTTTATTGAAAAAAAATTATTAAGCAATGTTTTCAATACAGCTGATAAGGAACCAAAATTCCAGAAATTATTATTATAAACATTGCATTGACTCTTATCCAAAACTTATTAAACTTAAAGAATTAATAATCATAGTTGAAAGAAATAAATAAAACTTTAAATTATTTGAGTTAAATATTAATATTTAAATACATGCATTTTAATAACTGTGATTGCTACTCATACAATTTATCAAAATAATCATAAATTTTTGAAGTTGTAGTTTTAGCTAATTTTTTTTTATTTACATTACGTATTGACTTGACAGACTTTTTTTAATTTTGTAAATCAGTATTGTGAAAATCAGCAGCTTTGATTAGATTGTTTTTTTTTTTTTTTTTTTTNTTTTTTTTTTTTTTTTTTTGGTAGAAGAATAATTTATAATGCTTTAATTTTTTCAAGCTTATCATATTTGTCTGATGGCACAACATAATAAGAATCATTATGTTTAATTTAAATAACTAAAACACCAATTTTTATTTTAATATATTCATTTGTACATCATTACTTCACAATCTTCCATTCTTCTTTTCTGAAGAAAATAAATATTATTTGCATTCAAGAAAGATAAAAAAAAATTATTTAAAATTTTTTTAGTAATTTTCCTTCATTTCAGAGTAAAAGTAAGCAAATTCTGTAATTACAATATACATACATTAATAAGTGAACAATCATTAGAATGTATTTAAATTTCATAAATTGCAATTAACTGAAAAAAAGTAATAATTAAAATTTCTTTTGTTTTAAGATTTTTTTTATTGTTAAAGATCATATCTTAATGATAACTCATTTTGCTGTTTGTTAAATTTTGTTATCAGAATTCATGATAATGAATTTGACAACAAGGAGAAATGACAAAAATGGAAACCAAACCAACAATCATAAAAATAATAAAGAGAAATTGAAAAAATGAAAAAAAGAAAAAAAAAACAAATGTGAATTATTTACAGTAATGGATTGTGTAGTTGATATTTCAATTATTTAAATTTTTCAATGTTACTATTACGGGCATTAGTGATAAATTAATCAGATTTATATTTGCCCATAAAAGTGATAAAATAATTTTCATTAATTTCATTCCTTACAAGTTTACTAACATTTTTTCAAATTATTCAGGTAAGTTTTTACATGTTTGCCACCAGAGATGCCTCTTATTTACTGTAATTTGAGGTGAATAAAACACCTCTCTGTCTAAATGATTAAGTAACTCTAATAATGTTTATGATGTGACATCATAAGTTGTCTTAAAAAGATCCTTCGTAACTTAAGTGCTATGTGAAGTAATCAAATTTGTTTTTTTTTCTTTCTTTTTTCTTGATATTTCTTTTCTACCACAGGTAGGATGAATAGAAACAATAAGTTAAAAGTTGCATTATTAGAGTGAAAGATAGCATTTTTTTCTTTGTAAAAAAATACCTTATAGTTACTTAGGCTTTATATTATATATATTACAGAACTTATACAGAAAGAATCAGAACTTTACAAAAAACTGCTCAAATTGCTCAGGTAATCTGAAAAACTAATTATATGAATAAAATGAAGAGCTTTTAAAAAATACTCATGTCACTGAAGTAATCAGGTAAACATGTTTTGAAGTAGGCTGAAGAACTGGTAATAGAGGCAGTGTTTCCTAATAAAATCAAGTATGTGAAGTAAAATTCCTCATACGTCACCAAAAATCTCATCTGTGATGTTTTCATCCACCATCTTCAATTTGACTGTCTTTGGCAACATAGCATACTGGAATTCTTTTCCTTTCCATACACCTTCACTACAGAGAATTCATCAAGTTTATGAAAAATGTCTTCATTAAAATTGATTGAGGTGAATATGGAAATACAAATAAATCTATTTAGCTGTTTCAGAGCTAGGTTAAGACCTAGCTCTGAAAATTGTTTCTATTCATCTAGACTTCTTCAAATTTTAAGCCACCAGTATTGATAAAAGTTGCATGGAATGAATAGAAACAATAAAAAATAGCTGTTTCTATTCATTCCACAAATTCAAAATCATTACTATAAAAAAGAGATCAATGATTATAAGATATGAGATGTTAAAAAATATTCTCTGTTTTAATAACATTTCACTAACACAA